GAAACTTACAGCCCAAGAACAGGGATCAAAGTTATTAAGAACACTAATAACTTTTATTCTTCAAAAACAGAAGTGTTTTATTTGTTTTTATTGCGACCAAGCCGCTATCTATGTTTAACTATCTAGCATAGTTAAACCTAATCAAATGTATATCGTGTGGCCCTCAGACTATGTACTGAGGCCATTGTTAACTCTACAAGTCATGTACTGAGAGCCTGTTAACTCTTCGAGTACGCCGTACCCATGTGTGCGCCGCACCCGTGTAACCCGTTACATTCCCAGTGTAACTTTTTTATACAGATGGTTGAAGTACAGTTCCGCATCGATTAATGGCCCCTACGGAAGCCCTATGATAGATTTGATGGGACAAGTGATAGCGTTCACTGATCTGGGGATGTAGACGGGATCGCTAGACGAGACGCAACGTTTTGCTGCTCATCTTTAAGTATTCCAACGCGCAACAACAGCCACTGCCACGCTCGCATCGATGTGCCGGGTTTCACTGTTAAGAGAGTGTGCTTTGTAATAGATGTGGTTTAAGTCATACAAATCTGAAGTGGATCAATGCAGCTGTTTTACGTACACATACCACGTAAAAATACAATATTATTTTCAAACCTTTTAACACGAGTCAGCTTGTTCTCTACTTCTGTGATGGGCAAATTCCGCTGAATAATCCAGCGCATCCATTGGTAGATATTGAGGGTGATCACAAACCCGAACATGTCGATGGTTGGGGTGGTGGTAGCGGCTTGGAGTTCAGCTCGCTCGTGTAGCCAGCATGCATGTGACCTAGGAGATTGCTGTAGCCACTGCCGCTGGATTGTTTACGCTTACACCCACACTTTTGCACTGGAAGAGCCCTTCACTGAGATCGGAGTAGAAGAAGGAGCACAGCTGACGCGACGTCATCGTAGGTGTTGGGGTGAGGAGGGTAGTTTTGGTTTGGAGTTCGAATTTGTAAGTGAGTTAGGAGTCGATCGTCCGTGCAACCGCGTTGGTGATGAATGGTGGCGGAGTAAGCTTCAAATGGTTGGTAGGAGGACAAACAATAAAATAGTATTATCTGTTATTTTGCATTGTATTGAAAACAGCAACAGGCAATAATAAATTATTAAATAAATATAATATCAATGCTATTGATATTATATTATTATCTCCATGCCCTGCGCTACTCTGCATGAACCTCATCAAAGCACCCCCGTTCAGGTCGGAGTTGATCAACTGCGAAATACCCAGCGTTGAGGCAAATTCCTCCTTGGTCGTCAAGTTCTTCATCATGTTCTTCATTTCCCGCGTAGTCAGAGATCGTTCTTCGTCTTCAGAGTCGGCTTCGATAGCTGCGTGGTGGACCCTCAGAAGTCGCTGGCTTGGGTTGGCGGGCGAGGCAACCCTCGAGTCCTGGTTCAAGTCGGCGGTCATCGAAGAAACATCGCTGGCAAGGAAGAACGACGCAGTGGCCACCACCAAAAACTGAGTGAAACGCATGAGATTCTCTCGTGTAGGTTTGGTTCTTGAGCGTTGGGGAGGAGATTGCAAACTGAGGTCCAAGAAACTGCGCTGCAAAGGCCAATGGTGAATAGCACGCTGTTGTTGTGTCTTCGCTCGCAGTACCTTATGTTCGGCAAAACTAGGGCCGTGGACAATACACGGATGTGAGCTGTTGTGAGTCGTATGACCGAAAGCTTCACACTCAAGGAGGAAAAATGAAAAGTGAGATTAAATTTGTTAGTGCCGCTGCTCCCTGAGGTTTGTCAATCGTTTAAGCGCGCTGTATCAGCTTCTCAAGCTGCGTCTCGTCGCTTCTTCCTTCACT